AAAACTCCCTCAGTAGTCGGGGCACGCCAGCGACAGAGAACATCATGGGGGGGGGGGGGGAGATGAGGAGGCGGAGGAGGAGGAGGAGGAGGAGGAGACCAGGTTCAGCAGCTGCTTCTCCCTCCATCCCTTCCTCTACCGCCGGTTTCGGAGCAGGCAACCGAATCTCTTGACCCAACGTGTAGAAAGCTCTGCGAGCGTTGTTCTCGTCTCCGAACACAATATTTCCCGAGCTGCGCCCCAGCACACAGTCGTCAACGGCAACAACGTCTCTAACAGGTCAAGAGTGCCTGTCATCCAGCCAGAGGACGTAGGAGGGAGAGAAATCTCTGAAGTACTTGAAAGTAGTGTCATGCCCATGGAGGAGGAGCGAGAGGAGCTACCTTCATGATCTCATCGGTACTCAGACGATCGACCCCATAGCAATGCAGCGTGTCCTTGAGGACTGAAAGCAATCTCATTTCATCCCTCCTCCTCCTCCCCTCCTCCCAACCTTCAAACTCTTCCTCCTCCGGCTTCGGGTCTCTTCGAGGACAGCAAAACTCAACACCGAGGTCTTCACCATACTGCGTAACGTGAGCCAACAGTCCGCTCCAGAACTTGACTCACAGGAAAAGCATTCAGCTCGATGCCAAACTTTGCGGCTCTCGTCTCTATCTCTTTCTTCCTTTGCTCTATCAGCGTCAAGTGTTTCAGCTCCATCACGAGATTTCAACGCTCCCTCAGACACCCTACCGGCTTCTTCCTCCTTCGATATCGGATCCTCGAAGGGCAGGCCCTCGGCCTCTGCCAACGCCTTGAACCTGAAGAAAAGTTTCCATCATCTGTAGGCCGTCGGGACCAGGGCGAGCACGACGACGGAGAATGAGCAAGTGATCGATAGGATAGAAGGAAGAAACCATGAGAGAGGTGAAGACGAGGAGAACGCTGCCTTGCCCTGACTGACCTCTCCGCACGAGCCTTCTGTCGCGCCTTCTCCTCATCCGTTAGCGTGTCGATACCAGCAACCTTGGAAACATCAGCCGCTCTCGTCCATCCCTTCAACCCTCACCGGCGCGGCCTCCGCTGCCAGAGGGTTGCGACCTCCCGTTGCAGACATGTACCTGGAGAGAATGAGACAGCAGAGCTATATAGGTTATGACTCACTTGCGGAATTCCGTCTTTGTCAGGATCACATCGAGGCGAGGCTCCGTGAAGGGGATGTTGAATCGCTCTGCTATCAAGTCAGGGGACGTGACGAGCCCTTGCCTGTCCCACCTGCTCGAGCTCGCGCACTTCGATACGCTTGTGCGACCTGCAAGAATGACGTGAGCTATGATGACGTCAGCAGTGCAAGGAGCGACCTTTTCCAGCAGCTTCTCGGTATACTCCCGGTCTCTGATTTCGTAGTCGGGGTCCAGAGCTTCACCCACGACCGGCGCTTCACTCGGCATCTCTGGCGGATTGTTGTCCATCTCCTCCAGCTTCTTGCGATTCTTGATCAGCTCTGCGCTTATGGTCAGTGAAGCAAGGTTGGAAAAATATCATCGTTGAGGAATGCAAACTGCATGCAAGTGGAAAGCAAAAAATTGAATTAAAGTGCACCCGGCTCGTAATCCTGCTCTGGATTCTTCAATCTTTTGTACCAAAACAGCTCGGGAAGGCTCAGAATAGTTTCCTGACTAACCGTCAAATTTATCCAGGTTGCACCAGGAGAGCAAAAGGCAGGAAATATATGTTCTCACCACTTTCGGTTCTATATATTCTACCCCAAACCTCTCAGCTCTCGCCTTCGTTCGCTCGCACTCCAGTTGGATCTAGAGGACTACGATTACAAGGAATACCCAGCAGATGACAACAATACCTTTCGCTCCAGACGTTGCAGATATTTTTGTCTATCCTCGTTCTCCATGTGGGCATTGCCAGACTGAGGCGTTATGTTACTCGGATTATCTTTACTTGCAACAGGAGAAAGCATTGAACGCTCTCATACCGGATTCTCCTGATTTGGATTGTTTGTTTCGGATTCCTGGAACTCATGTGTGAGACAAGAAGTGCTTTCAACCATGAGAGACAAGCAATGCTTTCGCATCACTCACCTCCGCCATGGTCTCTTCGTGCTTCGCTTCTCCTCCTTCCTCACCCTGCTGCTGCAGATTTTAGCAATCTTTCATGGCCAAAGAGCTTTCTCTCATGTC